GTGTAATCCATTTATTTCAACAAAGTAACTGTATTCTAAATACCACCTTTTTAAATGGTAACCGTAACGGAATACAGTTACTCATATTTTGTATTTTAAATACGTAACGGCGGTACATGTATTCCGTTACTCCCCAACACTGTCTATAACCATATTGAAAGATAGAGACATGAGCAAGGCAAGGACAGCAAAGTTTACCTGTCTAATGCTTTTCAACAACACAGCAGTTTAGAGCCTAACATGGTCCCTCTATGCTCTCCTATCAGTCTGCTCTTTCTCTACACACTTCCCAAGATCTTGGTTCTGAAATCATTACTACAGAATGATGGCAGCTTGTTTACAGCCGTGGTTGCCAAACTTTTGCCAAACCCATTCTTTCATCCACAATAAAATGATGCCAGTCCACCATGACAATGTTTAATAATCATCACTATCACTTAAATAAGGATCCAAGACAAATCTTGCTGAAATAAGGATCAGCATTAGCACAAACTCATGTTTTTAAATTTTTCTCATAGATCACGTTGACCCTATAGTTTCACTACATATTTTATCCTTAGTCTAATGTTTTTATTTTCCAACACTGTTTTCTGCATACACTGTAAAATCTAATTAGTTCCCAGAACTCAAAAAAAGTGAGGAAACTTGTTGCCTCAAAAAAATTGAGTAAAGCTTAGCTAAAAATGACTAAATTAGGACAACTTATTTATTTTGAGTACTCTGTACAAGCTCATTTGTTCCCAGAACTCAACAAAATTGGATCAAGTTTACTTAAGATGACCAAGTTAGGGCAACTTACTCATTTTGAGTATACTGTACAGCCTTGTTAGTTCCCAGAACTCAAAAAAATTAAGGAAACTTGTTGCCTCAAAAAAACTAAGTAAAGCTTACTTAAAAAAGATTTTTGAACTTCATTTTTTGAAACATATACTTTTAGTTTTTTACATGTTCACTTAGGTGGACAACATACCTTTTGACTGGGTGGCATGGTATGGAGTGACACATCAGTGTCCAATGTAGTGGTTTATGTGCAAGTATACCATCAACACGAACACAAAAATAAGATTTTGACCACTATGTGTGAAAGGGTTAAATATACTGATGCTCAAGCTGTTCAAGCTCTCAAGATCATGCATACCCATAAGGCGACTAAGCTAAACACTGACATCTTTCAAACCTTTCAGGTTTGCTTCCATTTCATTGGTGTATCAGTAAATTTTATCTTCATCGGGCTGTCAATGAAAACAACATTTTGGAGACGGAAACATCAACACAAAAAAAAAACAAGAAAAAGTTACAAGAATAACAAAAACACATCAGTAATTAAATCTTTTAAACCCCAACGTGTAATGAGGGACTCCGTTTGCAGTGACATAACACGCCCATGCTGCACACACAGTCAATAAATGGTGTTCTTTTTATCTGTGTATCAGATCTGCACATCCTTAGCTCGTTGTACTATTTCATGTTTTTCTGTGTGCGTTACAGATTAAAAACTAATTTCTAACCAGAAAACAGACTATACTGGCACAGCTGCACTCATAGCAACTATGGGACTACGTTCAGTTATCCTTATCACTCACATCAAAACATGACGATCTTACTCCAAAAGCACGAATGGTCAACTAAAGTCTGTTGATGTGTAACTTCATGTGGCAGCCTTCATATATGTGGGTCCTCTGCTCCCTTTGCAGCACATCATCCAGTTTGCCAGCAGAAACAAAAACATGGAACTTGCATCAAAAAAGGTAACTGGACGTTTGCTTTTAGAAGGCAGAAGCAAAAGAACTAAATGCATATAGTTTGTTATTATTCTGTATAATATTATGAAATGGCTTTTTATGCCTTATACTGGCAATTTCATGCATTGAAATTACTTTAGAAATCAAACGTTTGCGTGGAACACCTTTTAATGCAACAGATAATTTCTACTGACTCTGATGTTTTCACTGTTCACTGTTTTTTTTTCAGTGTAATAAATTGTAATACTGTAAATGTCATGTGAATTAATGTGTTTTATGAAACATGACTGATACAATCTCAAGGTCACAGAGTTTCCTGCGGTAAGTGTGAATACAGTGTATAAATGTGAGTAAACTGGTCGTTGTTGCAGTTACGTAAGTTTTTTGCAGTTACTTAAAAACAGATGAACAAATCTGAAGATGTTTGCACTGATATTAACACTGTAAAAGGTTTTTCTAGCTCACTGTGAACCTATACAAATGCATTTAAGGACAAAATTTTACTATTAAAGTAAAAAAAACTATATGAAACATTCACTGCAGACCTGCAGTATCCTGCCAACAGATCAGAAGCTGTGAATGAGCTTTGTATAAAGAAATCAGCAAAACAGCATTGTCACATATTATTGGATTTTACTTTGATTTTAATAATTTGAGCACAATAGAGATTAAAAATTAGGTAAATAAAGACTGCATTACAGGCTGCATCTATTCAAAATTCACCTAAAAAAATACATTACATTTTGCAAATTGATTAAGAAAACAGAAAATAGCAGAACATGCTGCAAAATCAAAGCATCTGTAATTGTAATTGCAAAAACGTACACACAGTACAAATTGTTTTTGAAAACTATTCTTAAATACAGTGTTTGAGTAAAAGTACAACATTTGTAAAAACATGCCGCAGAACGCCTTTTGCTAGTTTTATTTTGAACTTCAAAAAATATTATGACATTTTAGTTTCATGTCTATATCTACTAAATAAGGCACAGCTGTAACAACAGCAGGGAGTGACTGTTTGGCAACATGTACGTGTTTTTATTAATCACTGCAAAGCTTAAAACATGTTTAGAATATGGGAGTCATTCATAATGATTAAATATAATTTACTGTATGCCTGATGTTCACTTTGCATGTCAGCTGCAGTACTGGAGACTTTACCTGCTGTCGCTGGTGCTGGGAATCGGGGGATGTTTTCAATTTGGGATCCAAGCGTCTGTCGTCGCTTCTTCGGCAGTGGTAAGATACCTGTTAGTTACGCAGTGTACACATAAAATATGTTCACACTCAGTATTATTGTATATCTCACTGTAATGAAGTTTGCTATGGTTAAAGATTATGTCCTCACAGTAGTGCTCTATTAAAGTCTTCACCAGCCAGCAAGCTCTTCAAATTTTTTGTCACGACATTTGATGGCACATAAAAGTTATTTGCCTCCAATGTGATATTCAGTAGAAAATAGTCTGTGATTTGCTGATTTCTTGTCCCTGTTGACTGTAATTTACAATAACAGTAGTGATATTACTTACTCGCCATGCAGTTTGCTTTTAGCATCAGATTCTCATGAAACACGAAAGCCAGAAAGAAGAAACATTTAAAAAGTGTTGCTGGTTAAGAAAATGTCACATAAGACTTTTTTTTAAAAAACCTATTTGTATACTAAATCATTTTTAACTGACATTTTTCAGAAAAACATGAGATTAAAAAAAATTAAAAACACAAAGAAGCTTTTATTCAGCAATCCATCCATCACCCATTTTTCTATTTACTTCACCACTTAATTGTTTGAACATATGCAAGGAGCTGTTGGAAAGCCTAAATGTGGTAAACATAAATATTCAAAGAAAGGGGGGGGG